TGTACATGGCAGTAAAATCTCTGAACTGGAAAAATGTGACTTAAATCAGCAAGTTTCACTAAGTTTTAATAATGCATTTCCATCAAGGTACTACAGGGGCAATATTTGGAGAAAGATGCATAATGGTAATCAGAGAAAAACTGCTCTTCTTGAGGGTAACATATTTAATTTACAGACTTTTAATGACAAAATAAACTGTGATAAACTTTGTGGTCTCCTTAAGAACAATGTGCGAATTATTTCAGACTAGCTGCCTCATCATTTATGTCATGGTCCTAGGTCTTTGACCCAGTGTTTGGAGTTTTTGGAATTTCGCTGTGAGTTTCCATTCTCACTTTTATTTTTGTTATCCTTTGTTTGTTGTTGTTCTTGTTTTGAGTTTGCCTATTATCCCTGTTTCAGTTTATTCTGCCTCATTGACTTCTTTCCGGCTGGATGTTGTTCCTTTGGACTAAAAAGCAATCATTAAACGTACAATACCTTTCAATTTCACCCATCTGTGTCAGAGTCCACATTTCATGACAGTTTAGCCAACCCTCCTCAAAACAGATTAATATAACAAAATAGGGACATAGCCACCGTTTTGGTGCGTGGCGTGCATTTTTAAAGGCTCCAGTTTTGTTTTTCAGTTGTCACCATTTTTAGACCTGTGACTCCTTTCAGCTCTTACTAACAAACATGCACCTTGGATGACAACTACAGATTTAACTGCACAAGGGGTTGATTTTCTTTTTCAATCTCTATATACAACCATGGCTTTGTGAAAGTATTCTGGACGCTCTCAAATACAACAAGTGAACCAGGCAGAGGCCAGAGACGGAGAGAGATGGAGGATGTAGTAGGGAAGATAGATCCCTCAATAAATGTTTTGTGCCATCACTGCCCAGATCTGGATAAGTGGTAGAAAATAGATGGATGACTGCTGTTGATCAACTGGTGTTTCTGCTTATTACATACCTCCAGCCATTTTCCATTGTGAGTCATGAGTTTCAAGAATGTGAACCCTTGCGTAACCTTAAAAACAGCAGCTCCACAAGATAGGAGCTGAATCTACAAAGGTTGTCGCTTTCAAACAAGATTCACACAAAGCAGTGCTATTCTAATGATTAACCTCTTCTGTCCAACAGCAGTGAGCTCAAGTGTGTATTTTTGTAGAGTTTCATATCAGGTTGGACTCCCCGCTAACAGCTATGAATAGGTTCCTAGTATTTGTTTCACATCACTGCAAAAGAACATCAAACACCTGAGTTTCTCAGTATCAGGTTTCTGAAGACAAATTAAATCTAACACATTATTGACCTCAGGAAGAGTTATCTTTGTTCGACTGGATAGCAGTTAATATCTTTAGAATGGTTAACCTCTGCACATGAAAAGGTTTGTTCAAGTGATACCGAGTGAGAGTGAGCTTTCTCTGCATTGATCTGATTGTCTGTGGTTTTGGCTCAGATCAGTAACTTTCTATCTTTTATTTCAAGGCATAATCTTTCAGATGTGATTCTTTTATGTTAGAGTATCTTATTCCAAAACAATAAGCAGAATGGGATATTGTGTCTTTGTGTCTTACTTAACAAGACTGAACATCTACAGCCAGACTCAAAACTCTGTGAGTCTGTACCTCAGAGGAAAAACAGTAAATGCCAGTATCACAATGCTAACATCCTCAAAATTACAATGCAAACATGATCATTCTTCTATAAACTGTATAATAATAATGGATGTAGTTTCTGGTGCTACAAAATGAAACCTAGTAGAAGTGCCTGAATTTGCCAAAAGATAAGTCACATTGTATGGAAGTCTTTGACAAAAGCCACTAGGTTACTTTTTACTAGATTTATTCACTGGAAAAACATTTTCCTATTGGGTTTAAGTCTCAGTTGCTGTATAGCATACAATTAAACAAAATTCGCTAATTTCTAAAGCCCCTGACTGATGGCAAGATGGTTAATGAAGGCAGAAATGGATCACTCCCTTGTGCAGCGCAAACAACAAATACCTAGTGCTTCAGCTGATTCACCACCTAAAGAAAACAATAACAAGGAAATATTTAGTAGTCAGTACTGTGAAAGCAACCTGTCTTATAGGTTTAGACAGACTGGGGATTTTATGAGCTCGCAGCTTGAGAGTGCCATCTGTTGAGAGAAGCTTTCTTATCCTAACATGGTAACACCAGCTAAAAAGGCAAAATCAAACATCCTGGGCTCACTGGGGTAAGCAGGTGATTGCTGGGTTTGAATCTACTCCAAAGCCAAATGCTCTGTCTCCAAGCATTCATTACATCTCCCACATTAAAAAAACAAACAAACAAAAAACATACAACTGTTACAGACGTTTCCTCTCCCCAAGGAATATAAAACATAAATCTGAATTGGGGTAGAAAATTGGTTTTATTGTTTTAAAAAAGAAAAAGAAAAAGTCAACTGTAATTTGAACCCTCAAAGTTGGCTAGCTTGGTGGGTTCAAAATGGTAATCCAATGGTGTGGTGCTATTGGTTACATCTACACAGAAGGCGATGTAAATTTGGCAGGTCCCAAGATAAACTTTGAGACAAGTATTTGAAGCGACTGCTGATGAGAGAGCACGATACCGGTGACTCACAGATAACCTGCCAGCAAATTAACTGGGTAGCCACAGGCTGGAATGTCCAATAGAGATAACCATCACCTTCAAAGTGATCCATGATGAGCGAATCCCTCATTGTCATCCTTGTGTTGATGCAGCTTTATAGTTCTAGCATCCTAGCATGCAAACATGTCTGCACTGGTAACATATTGATGTTTGCAACATTTGGAATTTTTCTTTTTTATAATATGAACCATTTTAGTTTTCTACTTTAGCATGTTAGCATTTGTGCTAGCAAGTAACAAATACTAAGAAAATATACAGAATGTTATTAGATTTGAATAAAGTAGCGTGCTGTGTCTGTAAATATTATGTATAAAACAATGGCAAAATAAAATTACACTTCCTCCTGGCATCAGAAAATGGAAAAAGGATTAGATTACATAATCTTAGAGATTTTAATGAACTGCTCCAAATTTTACTCTCGCTGGCAGTGTAGCTTTGTGAAAATGTCATATCTTTCATCCCTTAAAACAGATTGAAATGCATCAGTTATCAGGGGTGTCAAACTCCAGGCCTCAAGGGCCAGTGTCCTGCAGGTTTTAGAGCTCACACTGGGTCAACACACCTGAATCAAATGATCAGTTCATTACCAGGCCTCTGGAGAACTTCAAGAGATGTTGAGGAGGTCATTTAGCCATTTGAATCAGCTGTGTTGGATCAAGGACACATTTAAAATCTGCAGGACACCGGCCCTCGAGGCCTGGAGTTTGACACCTGTGAGTTAGATGGACTACCTGGACTACCTGTGAAGTTCACACAGTGTAGCTTGTTGGTGGTCAGTATTGACAGGTCAGCTGGTATAATACTTCACTAAAGCCTCAAATACTGTAGTAAATATTCAATTCAATTCAATTTCTTTATTGTCCCACAAGGGGAAATTAGTTTAGCAGCAGGATATAAATAAACAGAACAATACTATAAAATAATAATGACAATAATAGTGATTAAAAAGTCCAAGAACAGTTATTTGCCATTGAGGAGACAAGATGCAGTGGGGATAAAAGAGACCTGGAGTCTTTTAGTCTTCCTCACAGGTACTCTAAAACGGCGGCTGGAAGGCAACAACTCAAACTCAATCTTCAGAGGTTTTCAGCTACCTTATCAAATACATTTAAATGGAAACCAATATTAAATGGAAACTTTCACCACAAGGTTGTAACATTTTACCAAAAACATTAAGTGTAGTTGTCCACCCCAACCAGGATTACATACTTCTATGTACTTTTAAAATTATTTACTTCCTAATAGAAGATTTCTACCTAACCTAATGCTTCTAAACTGCATCATCTCTGGTCTTGTAACTAAAGGCTAAACAGTAACGCGAATTAGGTACAAATTCTGGACTCGATGTGATTCCAGTTCATATTACATGAGAATACAGCCTGACAATGTTTTAACTTTAGCTGACATCTCTGCGATGCGATACATCAGGGTTTAAGCAACCTTTAAAGATTGGGTCATGTCAGGGAAAAACTTGCATTAATCATACTTAAAAAAAGAAAGAAAAAAAAAAGATGGATTCATCTGTGTCAGAGATATTTCAGAGATTGTATTCCTTGTAGAACACCTGTCCTATCACTGGTGCATTGTGTTTGTAGCAGCTAGCTTAATGCAGAAATAAATAGCTACAATGAGATATAGATTTCACTATTTAGTAAAGAGATATGACACCAAAGAGAACATTTCACACATACTGTGTTTCAGGCCGCCTGTGTCATTCACTGATTTAACCTCAGTAATTTTGAAAATGCCCATTGTGATTTGTGAGCATAAAACTGTGCATTCCTACACAGAGTTATTTTTTCAGAGCACAATTGAATGCTTAACTCAAAAGAGCTTTGTCCCCCCCCCACCGAAATGCAGACATTTCTATTTCTAACATTAAAAATTGTTACATTTTGTTCAGTACCAGGGCTCTGTTATTGTGCATTCAGACACAGTGGGGCACACTTTAACCTGTGCATTTCCTGTTATAAGTCTAAATGTTTGCTGTGAGATGAGGAGTCATTAGGAGCTCTACCATATGACTGCAGCACCGTTCCTTATGAACACGGTTAGATTGATTGTCCTTTGTTTTTTGGTCCTGAAGAAGCTTGGACCAGCTCAGAAGGCTTTAATTACTCATATTATTTAACCTTTAATGAATTCCCTGATTACATACACAACAACAACAACACAAGCATATATACTAAACTAGACTGTTTTGTTTTGGTTTTAATTTTTATCTAAAGAAAATAAAGGATTAAAGGTAAAAGAAAAACTATGAACAACCGAAAGGTTCCTTCTGGCTTGACTGACACCTCCCACTTAAACTAGCAAAAGCTCCGCCTCAGCCTTCTATCTTGTTGAGAACTTGAGGCTATAAAATGAAGGAACTTACTGTAACCAGTTCACAGTCTTTACTTGGAGTTCCGTTTGTGAACTCCTTAACAGAAACTACAGTAAATCTAATGCTTTAATCAGTGAGAACACAATAGCGCTGTCGGCTTTTCCTTTCACTTGGCGACCTGAAAACCGCGAGCTGAACCATGGCAGGAGACGGGTCAGATCAGCGGGCGCTGCAGTATGAACAAACTCTTGTAAGTCTTCGCTTGTCACCACTCTGAACTTTGTTCCCTTGTTCGACAGTGCGTCCACTTCTCTTGGGTTGGCGGAGAAGCCACCGTGTGCCCCTTTTTGCTCGTTAAACTGTTGGAGACAACGATAAAGAGCAACGTGTGAGCCAAGTGTGGCCAAAAGCTGGAATAGAGATGAATGAAGTGTGGGGCAGTATGTACGTGCCGAATTCAACGGTGTGCCTATGTGACTGTGGAAATTTCTTGTGGAGTGTGTATGCGGTAGAAAACACAAGTTTTAAGTATAAATTGTCACATTTTAAACGAAGTTCAACCTCCGGGTGTTCTCACGTGAATGGTCGAGGTTTGCGGTGTCGGGAGCCTGCTGTGTCGGGCTAATGTGTCCTTAATTCCGTAATTGCAAGTCATGTATTCTTGTGAATTAACATGAGCTAATTCCTAAACTGGTGAACACCACACACTGAATTTCTCCGGCTTGCGGCTTCGCTGTAGCTCTGGAAGTAAAGGTGTTTGTCCGAACATCTGGATTTGGCTCTGTCAATAGGTAGTAGCCGATAACACCCACGCAAGAGTTCAGCCAAACTCCACTGTTAAAAAAACAATCTGGCCGTAAGAGTCGTCTGTATTGTCATAATACCATATAAAAGGTTACTTACTTAATTGCAGTTTTAATGTGTAAGTGAGTTTATTAATTCTGCATACAAATTATACCAGTTTGCATCAAACAGTACTGCATCCATTTCCAACCGATGAACGCAACCGTACTATTAGATGCTTTATTAGCTAAATGTAAATTTTGCAATGCATATCTGACTGCCAATAAGTAAATGAATCTTGCTGGACAGCGTTTTGTCAAGATTTAAATTGCTACAATGCAAGCGCCATTTGATGAATAAATTAAATGCCTGTTAGATAGTTTGGGTAAACATGCACATGTCATAGGGATTACTGGTAGTGTCAGGAGCACTGGATGTGTATACAACCACCAGCATCAGACAATGGATCAATTCATCGTTGGTTAGCGGCTTGGGTGCAGCACACAGCAGGTTGTGATGCAACTGGCAGCTGTGCAAGTGTCTCGTGCAGCACCCACATCTGGCTCACCATTGTTATCGTAGGCCATCTTCTTTATCTTGCTTTTTTTTTTTTTTTTTTTTTTATTACACATTACACAAGCAGTTGTCAGAAGTCCTAGAAAGTCTTCATGCAGCTTTGGATGACTGCGTTTAGACCTGATTTAAACAGCAGGGGGCTCCCACACATTTTAATGCCACAGGGCCTCAAATGAATAGAGATCAGGGCCTGTAGGTTCCCACTCCATAAGAGGACTAAGTGAGGGCTTTTAATTGGTAAATTTGAGCACATCCCTCAGAATGGTTACAGGGCAGGCTTTAAGCTGAGAGTCCCCCTCGTGTGTGTGTGTGTGTGTGTGTGTGTGTGTGTGTGTGTGTGTGTGTGTGTGTGTGTGTGTGTGTGTGTGCGTGTGCGTGTGTGCGTGTGCGTGTGCACTTTTCCTGACAAAAACAAAACTTTGGTCAAGCCTAAAGAATTGGCTGTTTGAAGAGACTCGTCTTATAGGCCAACTGGATCCATTCAGCGGCACTGAGGCTTTAAATTAAGAGGAGCCACAACTGTAACACTTGTTTGGGCCTGTTTCTTTTTTCTTGAAGTTTCCTTGCACAAACACACACACACAGACACACTCGGCTCTGTCCACCCTGCCTCTGCTAGTGTGTGTGTGTGTGTGTGTGAGATTACACAACTTGCGACCCGCTGATTCAGCACTGGACGCTCTGTCACCCTGGCAGGGTCTCGTGCCCGTTCCTTCAGCTCTCGGAAAGAAAGAGGGAGGAAGAAAAAACGTGTTCAGACTACTTCCTTTGTTAATCTCGGCTTACTTCACAGCATATAGAAGATTGTTACAGGAACAAAAATTGTGAAATGGAATCAAATAAAAATAGCTCCAGTGTGCGAATAACCTCTTTTATCATAAATGAGTTCTCTCTCTGCCCCCATCCCCTCGCCGTGGGTTGTAGTAACATGGTGTCTTTGTGCAATATTGGCAGTCGTGGTGGTTGTGTGGGTTTTGTTGTGGGCAGTGGATGCTCAAAGAGGCCAGTGTAGTTTGGCTGTTAGGAAGGTTGAAAGGCTGGCTGTACAGAAACACTGGCAGAAAAGCAGCCTCAACATATTGTCGGCTAACATCAGACTAACACGTCAGTTTGTGCGTGTAGCTGATTTTCGGCTGTTTCTTCAAGAACATAAAGTTACATTTGCGCGTGTTTGAATGGTACATGGTGTGAATCTAGTGTATAAAGTTACGTAAGCATACGCACATCTTTTGTTGCACGAATTATCAGCAAATGACACCTTCAGTCAAGAAGTAATATTTTTGACCTTCATAACTGTCAATTGCAAGGTTAACATTAGCAAATCATTTTTGAAATGAGCAAGAGAATAAATAACTGAGCAAATGTTAAAGACTTCTTCTTCCAAGAAGTTGTAACAAAACTGTTTGATAGCAGTTTAAGGGTTAGGCTTTTTTTTTTTTTTTTTTTTTTTTTTTTTTTTTTTTTTTTTTAGCTCAAACGTAAGGTTTTAATAGGTCTTGTACAGTGGTGTGAGTAGCCTATCAGATGTCACAGGCTGATATTTATGACATTTTCCGTGGCGACCGCTATCATAAGCAATAAAGTGAAATCCTGTTTGTCGGCGTTGCTCCAATTTATTTGCAAAACTGTGTGAACACGTAATAATTAACAGAACGATCACACTGGTGCCAAACACACGCGAGCTTCTTGGAGGCGCTAAAACAGTTGGATTACTCGTCACGAGGAATGCTAATAAAGTTACGGAAAGTGTTGTAATATCTCCTGCAGCTATAAAGATTCCAAAAATAACCCTGAACAAAGGACATAATGGAAAGTGTCTCTGTTGCAATCTGGAGTTTAAATTAGAGTTTTAAAGGGAGTTGGTGACAACAAGAGATTCCATCATGTTGCATTATGATAATTGCAAGATGCTAACACGTATGTTATTTATTCATTTAAAAAAAAAAGAACCCCCCTGAGACTTAAATATTTCTAACCTTAACCCTACGCTATCAGATATGTTGTCTATTTACTACTTTTCTGCTTTTCAAGATTGCGAAGTCTTCAAAGAACAATCAGGGGCCAGAAAAAACAGATGAAAAACAGTTCTTCTTCTTCTAAAGAAAAATGTTCCCAATAACACTGCTTTTATCAAAACGTTCCCCTTTTTTTTAATTTATTTTTTTTAGTCCAAAAAAAGACACTGTCCACATACCAATGAGACGTCTACGCATTGGATCATGTATTTTTACTATTAGATGAAAATAATGAAATCAGCAGAGGCTTGGCTTAGAGGCTATGAAAGCTAAGGGTAGCGCTGGCTAAGAGTCCAGAGATGGATTGACTACAAACTAATATAAAGCAGGAAACTTTCTGTAGAGTGTCAAAGATGTTCATATTGGAGCGTGACCTATTATAAAATGTTTGACGGGTACACTCCTGTACTGATTCTGGTAAAGTCTGACTGGAAGACGCTGCTTCTCACCCTGATATTCTAGTGTTGAAGAAAGTTTTCAGCATCTCTTAATGTGGAATTGGCACCACTGAATGGGCAACTTTCCCCACTAAGTGACTGAGTAAATTGTGTAGTGTATAAAGGTGTGACATTGTTAGACGTTAGAGTCCTAACATTGTGGACAGCCAGCTGATCACCACCTTTGCCCTTTTATCTCACTCACTGGCTTTGATGGCTTGCTATTGCAGTGTGACATGGTATGTGTGGAGGCTTACGACCAGCTATTCCAGAACCCGTATCAGTGTGGTTGTTGGGCGTGCATGTTCAGTAATTCAGATATGAGTGATAGGACAACATGCAAATACAGAGTTAAAGATGGTCACTGATTGCGCTTGTCTATGGTGATGCAGGATGACACAAAGGCAATGCTGGAACCTTATTTCAGTCAGACTGTTTCATTGGAAGGGAAGTTACGGGCAGGCGTATTTTGTGACAGCAGGTCTTCTGATTGGGAATGTGCTTCCATTATTATACTGACCGAAGGCTTTTTTGAAAACGATGAGGAAGTGAAAGTGTCAGCTAAAGAAGTATGGAGACTTCATAATTTGCGAGTCCATATTTCCCTGTGTTAGTGGGGTGGCTCTGTGGGTTGTGTCCATTTGTCTTGCTGTGACACAGAATCATTTGTAACCTTGCGTCTGTCGCCTCACTGTAGTAATTTTTTGTTTGAAGCTTGCTTCCCAGCATTCATAGTGGAAATTTCCCTTCACTGGATCTCTCTCTGCTTCATTATGCCTTGTGGGTGAAGTTTTTTCTTCTTCTTCTTTTTTCTTTTTGCAGACCGGTCAAGAGCTACTTGACCCCCTGCTTTTGACTGTGTGCAGAAAGGGCTGTTTGCATAACCTAAGCTGGCTCTAACTGCAGATAAGCTTCAAAAGCCTCTAACAAGTTTTCTTTCTGTCACAAGAGATCAAGCATTTAGTTTCTTTTCTCTTTCATAAACTGATGTGTCCACCTGTATTTACTCTTTCACAAACAGTTGTGATGGATTTGCCTCTTGGTGTGAGGGCTCTTGAGGATGGTTTCAGAAAAGCAAAATTCTTAAACCTGTTAATGATGAAACCACACATAGTAACGGTGCATTTGGCAATCACTTCACAGGCCGGGACAAATGGAGGCTGGGCCTTTTTAGGTAAAACAAAAGCTGGGATGTGTTTGTGCGACTTACGCTTTGTTCTAAGATACATTGATCACACAGGCCGGGTTGTGTTGATTATTAATCACCCAGAGATGGCGGGAGGGAAAGGTTAAGCTCGATAGGCCATTAGATTAAAAGGATGAGGCAGTTTTTAGTGTTGAGGCGTGTCTCGTGATTAGTGCCACACCTTTTTCTTTCTTACTCCTCTTGAGTCCTTAACAAATATGGATCAGAGAAGAGATCAAAAACGGATCTTAGG